GGCCCCCAGCACAGCGGGGGAGATGAAGAAGGTGGTGGCCCTCTACAACTACCAGCCCATGAACGCGCAGGACCTGCAGCTGCAGAAGGGCGAGGAGTACTTCATCCTGGAGGAGAGCCACCTACCCTGGTGGAAAGCCCTTGACAAGAACGGGTAAGAGCCCCTATTGCACTGGTGGGCAAACACATCCCTGCCTGCCCATCTGTGGCCTCCCCAGGGAGGAGGGTGAGGGAGGCTGAAGCAGGCTGGGCTATCAGCCCTCCCTGGACATGGACAAAGCTGGGTTTGTACCAAGGTTTTTGAGCCCATTTCTACTCGGCCTCCTGGGGCAGAAACACCCCATCCCCTTGGCCAGTGTGTAACCAGCCCCTTTCCCCCTGCAGGAGGGAAGGATACATCCCCAGCAACTACGTCACTGAAACCAGCAATTCCCTGGAGATCTTTGAGTAAGAGAAGGCACAGGGCCCTGTCGAATTGGGCTTGGTTGGAGACTTTTTCCATTCAGCTTTTCCATCCTCAGTTCTGCTCCCCAGAGCCTGGCTGGGTCGCTCTCCCTCTTGCACACCCTTTGGAAGCCTCCAGCCCCGTGGCAGCCCCATGGTGTTCTCTGCACCACCTGTCCTGGCTGGGCTGGCACCAGACTGGGCTGGGGACAGTGGTGGCTGGGATTTCCCTGATGGCTGTGTCTCTGTTGCAGGTGGTACTCAAAGAATATCACTCGGAGCCAAGCAGAGCAGCTGCTGAAACAGGAGGTAAGTGTTGCCTCCTGAGGCTGGGTCTGTTCTACACACCAGCCCTCCAGGGGCTGTTCTCACATTTTGTCCAGCAAGGGACCAACCCTGGCTTGTGCTGGGAGGGAGTGTTGCCCCAACAGCCCCAAGAACCATCTCTATCCCAACGTGACCAGCCACTTAAGGAGGTGGCCCCAGAGGCAGGGACTGGAAGTAGGATTCCTCTGACTCTGCACCTTCTCCAGCCATGCTGTGATCTTCAGTCATTTCAAGCCTTGCCTGTTACAGTCAAACCTCCCAACAACCACCCAGTGCCCTTTCCCCCTTCTGTTTTAGGGTAAGGAAGGGGGCTTCATCGTCCGAGACTCCACCAGCAAGACAGGGAAATACACTGTGTCTGTCTATGCCAAGTCCTCTGCGTAAGTGGATCTCACAACAGCTTGTTCCTCCCTCAGAGGGCTCCCCCAGGCACCCCTCACCCTCTGCCTGTCCTCCCCATGACCCTACACTCTCTCTCTCCTGCAGAGACCCCCAGGGTACGATCCGCCACTACGTGGTGTGCTGCACCCCCCAGAACCAGTATTACCTGGCAGAAAAGCACCTGTTCAACAGCATCCCAGAGCTCATCACGTACCACCAGCACAACTCTGCAGGTCAGTGTCTGGGAGTGAAGCCAGCAGTGTTTTTACTGACACCACGGTACCCTCACCTTCCTGAGCTGAGGGCAGGAGGCTCGTGTTCCCTGTTGGAATGTGGCAGGTCAAGCCCAGTGTGGCAATCCACGTTTTTGTTTTTCAGGGCTCATATCCAGGCTGAAGTACCCCGTGTCCCAGCACCAGAAAAGTGCTCCTTCCACAGCTGGCCTTGGCTATGGTAAGCCAGCCTGGGCTGGTTGCAGGGTCTGTCCCTACTGGCAGCAGCTTTCCTGGGCTGGGATCCTGGCTGTCCCATGGAAGCAGGGCTCATAGCCTTCCCAGGAACCACTTCTCTACACTCCCTTGCTCCCTTGTGACAGTAACTGACCAAGAGACCCCACAATCTACCTTGCTCCCCATCCCATGGAGGAACAGGTCTCAGATTGCTCTGTGGATGGTTTTGTGGATGGTTTTTCAGGGAATAAAAGCTCACGAGCTTTTCTCGGCCGTGCCAGACCAGGATGACTGGGAGCACCATGTGGGGAGGTCACCTGCAGCCACTTACACTCACACTCTGTCCTAGGGTCATGGGAGATCGACCCCAAGGATCTGACCTTCCTGAAGGAACTTGGGACGGGGCAGTTCGGAGTGGTGAAGTACGGGAAGTGGAGGGGCCAGTACGACGTTGCCATCAAGATGATCAGGGAGGGCTCCATGTCAGAGGACGAGTTTATCGACGAAGCCAAAGTCATGATGTAAGTGGTGAGCATAGGGCAGGTCAGTGCTGGGCACACCTTGACAGAGTGGCTGCACTCCTGGGTGGTGTCAGGGACAGTCCTGGGCAGTCCCACACTCTGCAAAATGCATCCGAGAACCCACTGACTTTGCGCTGATTCCTTGGTGAGTTTTTCCACCGTCAGCTGGGTCTGGAGCACCTTCTCTTCCCAAACTCTCTTTATTCACAGGTGCTTCCTTGGCTGCTTGGCCTTCTAGATGCTCAGAATTGCCCTTGTCCCCAACACAGGAACCTGTCTCACGAGAAGCTGGTGCAGCTCTACGGGGTCTGCACTAAGCAGCGTCCCATCTTCATCATCACGGAGTACATGGCCAACGGCTGCCTCCTGAACTTCCTGAGGGAAACTCGGCAGCGGTTCCAGCCTGTCGAGCTGCTGGAGATGTGCAAGGATGTCTGTGAAGCTATGGAGTACCTGGAATCCAAGCAGTTCCTGCACAGAGACCTGGTATGGCTGTGGCTGAAGGGCACATGTCCAGCCCAGCAAGAGCCACAGCGTGTCCTGGATAGTTCACCAGTATGAGGAGAGGCAGCTCTGAAGCCTCCTCTGCAGAACACCCCTATAAGCTTCCCTGCCCACCCATGGGTGGGATGCTCTGCAGTCCCTTCCCTGCAGGGAGTTAGAGACTGCAGAAAGGGCAGGACTAGGTAGTTTTCCAGGGGATGTGAAATGCATCTGTGCCTGTGGCAGAGCTTGTGTTTGGCAGCACAGGCAGCATCACTGGCTCAGACATGAAAAGCTGGGCCTGCAGTTTGTCAGGCTTTGGGCTGGCACTGCCAACTGGCCATCCTGCCATACCTGATCTCCTGGTGCTGCTTTGCTCAGGGAAAATCCCACGAGGGAAGTCACCCCTCTACAGATAAACAGGATGCTTGGAGGCCCCTTTTGCTCTCTTGGCTGAGAACTTTGTAGCTTGCCCCCCATCCAGGTGAACATACAGGACAAAGTGAGGTGAAGTGTTAAGTGGGTGGGGATGAGATGAAGTTCAGCTGGTACAAGGGGATGGGAGAGTCAATAGCAGGTAGGAGTAACTGCCTCTCTCTCTCCATCCACAGGCTGCTCGAAACTGTTTGGTGAATGACCAAGGAATTGTGAAAGTATCAGATTTTGGTCTTTCCAGGTGTGGTAGACATGTCTGTGTCACCTTTCTGTGACACAGCATCTCAATCCCCCATCTCCTCCTTCAGTCTATTCTACACTTAATTCTTTGCTCCCACCATCCTCCAGCTCTGCCTTCCCATTGTCTTCTCCTGTCCAGCTTAATCTTCCACCTCTTCACTTTCCTCTATCCCTTTCTTACTCACCCCAGCCCTTTCCCCCTCCTCTTGGAATCCTCTTTCCCCCACCTCTAGTCTCCTGGCTGCAGCTTTCTCTCCACATCCCCTTTTTGCTGTGTGCCATCCTATCCCTTCCCCAGTCTTCCCTAACACACACTTGTTTGCAAAGGGGGGATTTTTGCCTGCTGAAACCCATGCTGAGTGCAACCCCTGGTCACTCTGAGAGCTGCCCATTCCTCTTGGGCTTGGTGGGTTGCGTGGAGGAGTGAAATGGGAAAACCAAGACAGGCACCCTGCTCCCTTTATCTGCTGCAGGTACGTTCTGGATGACGAGTACACAAGCTCCATGGGGTCCAAGTTTCCAGTGCGGTGGTCTCCTCCTGAGGTGCTTCTGTACAGCAAGTTCAGCAGCAAGTCTGACGTCTGGTCCTTTGGTAAGAGCACGGAACTGATGACTTGGAGGTCGGGAAGAGCACTTCCAACAGCAGCAAACGCCCTGCAAACCAGGGTCAGGCGCGGGTGCTCCCACGCCATGAGAGCTCTCCCCGCCATCCCCTCCAACAGGCGTCCTGATGTGGGAAGTTTACTCCCTGGGGAAGATGCCTTACGAGAGGTTTAACAACAGCGAGACAACGGAGCACGTCATCCAAGGCCTGCGGCTGTACCGGCCGCAGGCGGCCTCGGAGCGGGTCTACGCCATCATGTACAGCTGCTGGCACGAGGTGAGTGGGTCCCACCCCCAGAGACCCCTCCAGCCGCCCCCAAGGGGTGATGGGGCTCCCTGGGGTGCAGGGGCAGACATGGCTCCATCACCACCCCATCACCGCTCCCCTCCTGCCCAGCAGAAGGCTGAGGAGCGCCCCACCTTCACTGCACTGCTGGGCAGCATCCTGGACATCGCCGACGAGGAGTGCTGACCACGGGCACCGCCCGCAGAGCCCTGCCCAGCGCTGGCACTGCCCGCCCGGACACACCCGCAGCACGGGCGGCACCGCTGTCACGGACACGGCACGGGGGACCAGGGGAGCCCACGGAGACCCATGGAGCTCCACCACTGCCCCAGAGCTCCATCACTGCCCCGGAGCTCCATCACTGCCCTGGAGCTCCATCATTGCCCTGGAGCTCCATAACATTTCCAGAGCTCCATCACTGCCCCGGAGGTCCATCACTGCCCCGGAGCTCCATCATTGCCCTGGAGCTCCATAACATTGCCAGAATTCCATCGCCAACCTGGAGCTCCATAACATTTCCAGAGCTCCATCACCGCCCTGGAACTCCATCACCGCCCTGGAGCAGCACCACATCCCCGGAGCTCCATCACATCTCTAGAACTCCATCACATCTCTAGAACTCCATCACATCTCTGGAGCTCCACCACATCTCCAGAACTCTGTCACATCCCTGGAGCTCCATCCCACTCCACCCCCTCTCATGGACAATAAACTCCCCCGTCCCGTCGGGCTCGCGGGTCCTCCCGGCCGGCAGGGGGCGCTCGCGGCGCGGGGCGCAGGCGCGGCGCGGGCGGAAGGGGCGGGCGCGGCACCGGCGGCACGTGAAGGTCGCGGCGCGGCGGCACCGGGAGGGACCGGGAGGACACCGGGGGGACACCGCGGGGCTCCGGGACCGCCATGGACCCGCCGTCCGGCGCCGGGCTGGGCGGCGCCGACCCGCAGCTCCAGCGCTTCATCGAGGTGGAGACGCAGAAGCAGCGCTTCCAGCAGCTGGTGCACCAAATGACCGAGCTGTGCTGGGTACGGGCGGGGCGCGGCCACGCTGGGTGGGGGGGGGCAGGAGGGCTGTGTCCGCGGCGGGCAGGAAGGGGAGGGTGATGGGGACACAGTGGAGCCGCCGTGGGAGCGGTCCCGGGCCCGCTGAGCACGGGGAGGGAGGGAACGGGGCGGGGGAGCCCCGGGTGGGGAGGAGTCAGATGCGCCCGGGAGGATGAGGATCCCGGGGGATGAGGACCCCGAGGGGATGAGGGTCTCCAGGGGATGGGGATCCCCAGGGGATGAGGATCTGAGAGGATGGGGACCCCGAGGGGATGAGGACAGGACCCCGAGGGGATGAGGATCCCGGGAGGATGAGGATCCCGAGTGGGGGGTGGCTCCATCGTGTCCGAGGGCTGGAGATGCCCGGGGCACGGCCCCAGTGCAGGGGCGGCGGGCAGGGGGTGTCAGGGTCGGGCTGTGGTGCCCCCGGGACCAACGGGGCCCCCGCTGTGTGCAGGAGAAGTGCATGGACAAGCCAGGCCCGAAGCTGGACAGCCGGGCCGAGACGTGCTTCGTGAACTGCGTGGAGCGTTTCATCGACACCAGCCAGTTCATCCTGAACCGGCTGGAGCAGACGCAGAAGTCCAAGTCGGCCTTCTCGGAGAGCCTGTCTGACTGAGCCGGACCCAGCCCCGCCAGGCCCACTCCCCCCAGAGGAGCCAGCATCGGCTCGGGGGGTCAGGATTTAATTAAACGGCAGTCTCGGGGAAGCTGCAGCCAGATGAGAGCCCGCAGCAGAGACACGGACGCTCCACGCCGGGGTGACGTCCCGGCGCCCGCCTCTGCGCCGAGGAGAGGGGTGGTGATGCTCATTCCGCGGTGTTTCCAGTGCTGATGTGACGCTGGGCTCTGGGTGAGCCCTCCCGGGAACGTGCTGACATCCCCCGGCCCCTGCCTCAGGCTGGGACAGCCACCTGAGCCAGAAGAGCTCCTTGGGAACACTGATCCTCCCAGGCAGTGTCACCGCTGGAAAACACTGCCAGGCTTCTGTAGGTAAATCATTCGTACGCCCAAGTGACCAATTTTCACACTGCAGCACAACTCTGTCGATGCTGACTTGCTCCATTAACTGCTTTCCCTGGGTAAATGTAATAAATAATAACTGGGTCAATTTTTAACATGAGATTCTCCTTTGTTCAGGTAGATCATGGCTGAGAGTGGAAAATCTGGCCTTCTTGTCACTCCCCCTCCATCCCAGTGATCCTGTTTGTTGTAAAGTTAGTAGGAAGAGGGCATAATTGCCTTCTGGCTAGCAGCTTTTTTTCTGAATTGTGATTTGTTGCTGAATTAACTTGGTCCCATGAATCAAACCTGTTTCTGGGAGACCCTGTGGCCTTTCCCCTTCTTCCCTAAAGGTTTAACAGCTCCTGCTGTCCTGTAGTTTCTTTAGAGAGACTGAAAGCAGGAAATAACTAACCAGCTGCCTGGTCACCTCGTGCACTTTTACCTGTGGAGGCCACTGGTGGGAGGCCTGTGGGTGTGCCTTGTGGACCTCTGCCCCCAGGACACAGAGAGGAGCTTCTAACTGGAAAAACAACCAACAACTGATCCGCTCTCAGGAAGGCAGCACAGCGTGTCAGCAGTGTTCACGTGCAGAGTGGCTCTGGGAAGCCTGGGGTGACAGTGACAGTGGCCTGGAGCTCTGCACAGGAGCCTGGTGGAGCAGTTCTGCTCACATCCCACTGCAGGAGGGGCTCGTAGCCAGCAAGCCTTCCTGGGAACAAAGTCAGGATGTGTTAAACAGCTGTGCTGACATAAACCCGCATCAGTGAGGATACAGCTGTCTGGTTATCTTGCAGAAGGTTACCTCAACAGTTAAGGACTATATTCCCAGAGTAAGTGGTTCCCTCTCCTGTCCTAACTTGAATTTCTCTGGAGCATCCTGAGAGTTCTTCCTACCCCTGTGATTCTGCACACCTTTCAGCTGGCCCAGCTCTGGGTACAAATATATCACTCACCACTTGGGGAACTGAACAGATCAGATTTTAATAGAATACAGAAAGCAGGTGCTTCATCAACCTGCACAGCAGATGCTGCATGAAGAGGTTGGTCCCTCTGAAGAGCCACAGCAGCATGTGGCAGCACCACTGAAGTTTCCCACTTTGGGCTGTGTTCTGTTCTTGGATGTGAATCTATAAATAAATTCTAGCAGAGTGAGCAAAACAAGTACTGGACAGAGGAATCTTTAATTACTGTTCCGCGTGTGTCACCTTTCGAGCCAGACACCCCTCTTCTCTCTGTGTAACCAACCTTAGCACCATGTTAGATCAGTTTGTAGCTGTTAATCCTGTTTTTAAAAAACGCTGTGAGGCCTCCCCAGATGTGTGATCTGCCATGCAGGGTTAGCACTGTGTTAGTGCTGCAGGTCTCTGCACAGCCAGGTTCTGGGGCCTGATGACGGCAGATCAATTCTTCAAGTAAAAGAACAGTGAAAAAGTGCGAGGAACTGGGCGCTTCCCAGGGCTCCTCTCTGGAGCCACAGGAGGCTGCTGGCTCTGCCAGCCTCCTGCCAGTGGCACGGCACCCATGTGGCACCTGGGACAGGCAGAGGGTGACTGCCAGGTCCTGCTAGTGCAGCAGCCTTGGCAGTGGGAGCAGAAAGCCAGCAGTTCACAGACGTCCTCACACACTTTCACTTCTCCTCCTTCTCCTCTTCCTCTGTGCTCTGAGAGCCTTTGTCCTCTGAGGGCAGCAGAGGCTGGTGCTGACAGGACTGGTGTCTGTCTGCACTGCTCCATGGGGGATGTAGGTCTGCCCTGCCGGGCTGCAGGAAGAGGGGCAGGAGGCTGGGGGTGAAGGGCATGTCCCTGAAGGCGTGCAGGAGGAAGATGCCGGACACGATGGTGAGGAAGCCGCTGATGGAGCCCACGATGTTGTCCAGCACCATGTGCTGCCACTCCTTGAAGAGGATGGTGGAGCACGTCATGACTGCCGTGGTGAACAGCACGTAGTAAACAGGTGTGACCACAGATGTGTTGAAAATGTCCAAGGCTTTGTTCAGGTAGTTGATCTGGATGCTGATGCAGATCACCAGGCACACCAGGAGCACCCAGCCCAGTGGCTCTTTCAGGACTGGCTTCCCAGAAAACAGTTCTTTCAGGGCAATGCCCAGGCCTTTGACACAGGATACAGACAGTGAGCCAATGGCAGAGCAGACCAAAACATAAACCAGCACGTTGCTCTGTCCGTAACGGGGTCCAGCCACGAAGATAAGCAGGAGGGAGCTCACCAGGACACACACAGCAAATGCAATGAATCCTTGGGGAAAGAATGAAAGAGCTCTGTGAGAACACAGTGACAGATGTAACTGGACAGCAAGCAGAGACAGAGGACAGGGTAACTGCCCCATCAGTCTGTCTTTTTGGCCTCCATCTGAAGGGACTGGGGTTGGGAAGCAGAGTCAGTCTGCAGCCTGAGCATAGCTGGAAGAGCCAGCAGCAGCTCTTTACAGTGCAATCACAAGTCAGGCTGTCAGATATAGCCCATGCTGGGAGTGGCAGGGGCATAGCCAGGCCCCAGGGCACTAGCAGAGGTGGGAGGCTTGTTGACCAGTTCTGCAGGAGGCCCAGGAGAGGAGCAGAAGGCTTGGGAAGCCCTGGCTGAACTCTGGGGGCTGTGGTGTGATAAAAAGCAAAGTGCCACATGACAGGAGTGCAAGGCCCTGCCAGAGTGTTCCTTCTAATGAGCAGCAGCACCTACCTGTTACTCTGCTTTGCTCTTCTGCCTGTGCTTCCTTCCTCCATCTCTGGTGGCTTATTCTGCCATGTGTGCTATTGCCCACATCATATCCTTGCAATTTGATTTACCCTCTGACATAAGCACTACAACTACCTGATCTTGGATGTAACTCATTGAATTCATTCATCCTTCCCTGAAGGTCCTCCTCTGCCTTCCCTCAGCCACACCACTGCCACCCTGGTGTCCAGGAATTCCCTATCCTATCCTGCCACTGCCACAGGCCAACCCCTTCTGCTGGCAGCTGCACCTAATTCCCCTGCTCTTTACTTTTTGCATCTACACCTCATAGACAGTTTAAAAAAAGCCCACGTGGTAACTGCTGATGATTCCAGTTGGGTCTGCAGGACAAGAAACAGCTCCGTTACCATTTAGTTCAGTCCCTACTAATCCAGCCAAGTTGTGTCCCACCTTCTACTGTCAGTTCCAAGCCTGAAGTTGACAGGACCCCTTTTATTTTAGTACCTGGATCCTTCAGCTTCTCCGCCATTGACTCCAGGCTGGAAACCTCCTCTTCCTGCGGAGCGTGGATCACCATCACAGTGGAGCCCAGGATACTCAGGACGCAGCCAATCTTCCCATGAACATTCAGCTGCTCGTTGAGGAAGGTGGAAGACAGAACTGCACTGAAAGATAGTACAAAAAACCCAATTAAAACTAATTAAGGCAAGAGATGGGAGTACCTGAGGGAAGAGAGGGAGGAAAGCAGAGCAACTGCTTTCATCACTGAGGGTAGTAGGTGAGGTGAGGGTGTTTCTGAGGCTGCTTACCTAACAAGGACACTTAGAGCACCCAGTGGAGTTACCAGTGTTGCAGGGGCAAAGGCATAGGCAGCAAAGTTTGCAGCTTCTCCAACTCCCACTGCAAGAGAAAAATCCTGTTGGGTGAGCATCAAAGTAGGAGCAATTCACCATAATACAAGTTTGAGCGTAGTCAGAAAAGCCTCAGTTTCCAGCTGAGCATCCTGTGTTTCTCTGAGGTATGTCATGCAACCAGGAAAGAACAGCACCAGCAAGAACAACCAGGAGCCCCAACAGGTTCTCTTGGGAAGGGAAGGCTCAGTGTGATGCGTGGTGATCCTTAGTCACAAGTGCCTATACAGCAAGCAGCAACCACAGGAAACTATTGCCACAACAGCCACAAAGCTGAAAGGAGTTTGTATTTCTAAATTGTGTTCTTCTCCTGGAGCTGCTTTTACAGCTTTTTAAAGAGTAAATCAAGTACAGGTGGTTCTTAACATTGAAAAGTGTAAAGTGGAGCTGCTGAAATTGCTGTAGCATCAAACAGTGCTGGATGTTCTGTTATCACTACATCCTCTGGGCAGGCCACATCAGAAGCCAACCCAGCTAGACCAGCTCCTCAGCTCCTACTTAGCAGAGAAACCTGGTAATGCACAAGACTTTAGGACATTTTAGAGTTAAAATTAGATCAACATCATCCTCAGGTACTCGGAAGAAAATCAAGCAAACAATGATCATCATCATAAAACATGGAAGTGACTGGAAATAACCATCAACAGTTTTAACAGAGCAGGCTCTGGGTGACCTATTTGTGGCCTTCCAGTACCTGAAGAGAGGTGGGGAGAGACTGTTTTTAAGGGCATGACAGGATATGGGGGAATGGCTTCCAGCTGGCAGAGAGGAGGTTTACATTAGATATTTAGGGAGAAATCCTTTACTGTGAGGGCAGCGAGGTCCTGGCACAGGTTTCCCAGAGAAGCTGTCTTATCCCTGGGAGTGTCCAAGGCGAGGCTGGACGGGGCTTGGAGCAGCCTGGTCTAGCGGAAGGTGTCCCTGCTCGTGGTCTTTAAGGTCCCTTCCACGACTGACGCTGTCCCGAGTGTGTCTTAGCCAGGGTGAGCGCGGTACTTACTGCACAGCAGCCCTGCCCACCACAGCCATTCCCGCAGGTACGCGTGCCCTCCTTGCCCTGAGCGCGGGGGAAAGAGAAACAGAAAGCCTCAGATGAAGTGACACGGGTGAAGAGACGCGGATGAAGCGACACTCGCGGTGCCCGGAGCGGCCGTACCTGCCCTGGCGCGGCCGCGGCGGCACAGCCGGAGCAGCCCCTTCTTCTTGAGGACGAAGCTGCTGCCGATGAAGGCGCTGGAGGACAGGGCCAGCCCCAGCCCCAGCCCGAAGCCGGCCCCCATGGCCCCGGCGCGTTCGCCGGCGGGGCGGGGACCGGCCGGGATGGAGCGGAAGGGGCGGGGAGCGGGCCCGGCTTCCGCGGGAACGGGAACGGGAGCGGGCTCGGAGCCTCCCCGGGGGCGCGGTGAGCGCGTCTGCCGTGCCGGGCTGGAGAAGGAGGGATGAGCAAGGATGAGCAAGGGCAAGGACGATGCCCCCCACGAGCTGGAGAGCCAGTTCGTGCTGCGGCTGCC